AAAGCCCAATGACTTCCCTGCATAGAAGTTGCTATGCAAATACAATTGTTTTGTTTTGCAAAGTCAGAAATTATTTTTGCAGGGGTGGTTACTATATTTAGGGTCCTTTTATCCCAAAGTTTCAAGGGGAAAAAAGTGTTATCACAGGATCTTTTCTGAAAGTGTAACATTTAGCTGATATCCATTACAGTTTTTATGAAATTCCCAGGGTGCATGATATAAATCTAATGTGAGAGTCTTTTTAAAAAACTGATTTTTGATTCAATGGACCATAACAACTTTGAAATCAATGATTATTTAGGAACCCTTAAAACTGCCAATAATTTAGCTTCTCTATGCACATATACTGGGTACTGGGTCAATTCTCTTCTCATTGGGCTGAATACAGGTAATGTACGTTTGTCGGGGTCTTGACTACACAGATTGTTGAGCGTGTATTATATCAATTCTTTTTCCAGTTAAGTAAAATGCCTGGATGCCACTCTCCCTCTGGAAAGGGTTAAATGAGAAGTCCCTAAAAAGCTCCCAATATGCTAGTGTGTTTTAGCAAATGAGTTCTCTGTGGCAACACAGAAGTCTGTTTCTTCCATCTTTTACCACTGCTGATGCTGGCATAAGCTGAGATGCTTTCTCAGGACACATACATTAGTCTGGAGGTGATGGCTTGGTGTATAAGCTTTAGGCCTGGGATATAGGTAGACTAAAGTCCCAGGTTCTAAAGGCAGCAGAGATGATTCTGTCCGTCCCCTTTTTGAGACAGGTAAATTTGAATTGCCATGAAATTTACATTCAGTTGAAACCCTGAAAGGTTTTCTCCTTTCTATTCTGCATGAATAGTAATGATCCCCTGATGCTCTGTATAAGATAAAGGATTTGCTTCATCCATTAGCCAGAATTTGCCCTTCTTATACTACTGTGCTTGCAATGGGTGGGGCATGCATTTAATGCTACCAAAATGAAGATTTGTGTTCTTTATAAGTAGGGTGACCATACATCCCAGTATGTCCAGGACACTCCTAGCTACCATAGCCCGGTCCCAGCCAGTTGGCCAAAAGTCCCAGGCCAGAGTCTAGCAGGAAACTGGAGCAGCAGGATGCACCAGGGGGCAGCCAGGCAAGCATCGTTGCTGCAGGTGGGTAGATTGGAAACCATGCTGCTCCACCTCCCCACCAGACTCTGGCCCAGGACTTTTGACCAACTGGCTGGAGCAGAGCTCTGGGATCCTGGAGTGTCCCAGCCAAACCAGGATGAATGGTCACCCTATTTAGAAGTTACTGTTGACTGTGATTATATATTTTTAAATCAGACAGATACTCCCAGCGCCTTCACCGAACACACAGTTTCTTCCCTGTGGAGATCTTGAGAGAGAGGGAATGAAATACACATGACATGTTTGTCACATCTCTTAATGTAGGTAAAAATTAAGATAGGTCAGTGATGAGACTGATACAAAGATCTGGGCAGAATAACACCTCCAAACTCAAGCATGTTACTTTTTGCCACAGAAAAGGAGCACTTTACTGCACATTGCCAATATATAAAAGCAGTACTGTTTATACTGGTGTATCATAGAGCAAAGATGATATAATATTTACTCTTAGAAGCATACAGTACAAGCATACTCCACAGCTTGACAGAAATGTGCTTCTTTATTTTAAAAAATTGCGAAAAAGAAAGCATGTATTCAGACGGGATAAATCATCAGATAAATTATTTTGCAATATAATGAAAGGCAAACCCTAAACACAAACAATTACTTTAAATCACATCAAGTACCTATCACAAACATCACATTTACACAATTGATCCATGTGTAAATTAGCCAATTAATTCTGAATTGAAACATTAATGAAATAATTATTATATGTTTAAACCAGAATTATATCAGTGCACTTCTAGATGCACAAACTTCCTAAAAATAAAAGGCATCACCTATCTGCAGCCATACCAAATAGGGCATGTAGCTATGCCAATTGCCACCAGCTGAGAATCTGGCCCCTAGTTCAGACACTGCTCTGGAGGAGATAAAAATGATAATGGTGTGTTCTTTGTTATAAGAAGCATGAAAAGAGGACAATTGTTGTCTTTTTTTCCCCCTTTTCCTTATGAAAGAGTAAAAAGGATTGTAAAATGGAGGTTTTCATAATGCACCAACAGGGTTTTTTTCCTCACTCTTCTACCCTAGAAGGCTCGATGGAAAATAGAAGAGCTAATAGTATTAAGCGATAACTGATATGACAGAGTAAACTTGACTAAGAGGAGATAGATAAATTTAATATGGTCTTTTTTGAAGGGGTACCTTCTTTAAGGACTCAACACTTGGGCCTTTCAGTGAAGAGGCTTCCAACAGAGCAGGGATTTGAATATGGGCCTACCATATACCAAATGAGTTCCCAATCCCTGAAATGGTTATAGCTGTTGTGATGAGGGCAACATTTTTTTTCTCTCTCCTTCTCCCCGTTTCTCTTCCAGTTGCCGTTAAGTGAAAAAGATGCTCTTGGTAATGGAAGAATTTTATAGATTTCTAAGACCCAAGTGCTGAAACTCCTTCTATTTCTTTGGTTACTTCTATCCAGGCTTACCAGTTTTAAGCTCTGCAAAGGAATTTCTAAATTGGGAAAATAATATCTGGGCACCCAGCTATAAATCTATTCCATAGGTGACTGGGAAATATAATATATGTTTCCACTAGATTCTTCATTGTTAATTAATGTGGAAGATTTTCAGAGAGATGTGATAGGCCTCAGTACAAAACTCTAAAATAGATGCATATGATTTGCTTTCAGTTCTGATATCTTTATCATGACTATTACAGTCATATAACCCGGGAATACAATATACCTAAACAATATTTATTGCAACACTCTTTATAAGCAGTTCCTATTCTGATTCATTATATTGTTGATCATGTTCCGAAGAAGGTATATACAGTGAAAAATGGATGTTTAAGAATATATCTGTTGCAAATGAATATATGACATTCATTGACAAGTACATCTATTCATAGATGTATAGACCCCAATCCTCAAGAAGTCCCTGACTGCCAGACTTAAAACTTGTGATTCAAGAGAAAGATGTTAAAAACTCACGTTGCTGGACAGCTCTCTATTGGATAAGGATGTTTCAGTGCATTCGTTCCATTTACTTTCCACAAGCAGAAGAAGAAGGCTTGGAATTGTACAGAATAAATCTTAAAATGCATGTAATAAGGGAAAGAAATCCCATCCTCTAAGACATGAAATGCAGAGCTGATCCTCCCCCCCATCCCCCCCCATCCCACTTCTAAGTAAACAGCTGAAAAATTGATTCTCCTCTTCCTGCCCCTTTCCCACTTTCTGGAATAGACATTCTAGTGCAGATTTATTTCAAATTTCAGAAGCCCATTTGAGTCCAATGGATTGAATGCTTTATATCTTTTTTTCCTTTGGGAGGCTAATCCCAATTAGTGATTCAGTTCTGATCTGACCACCAAATTGTTGTAGCAATCTAAAGCGCAAGGAGGGGATATCTATGTTCCCATATATGTAATTATTTCAGCCACAACCCGAAAATACAGATAATATTTAATGTCTAAGTGCCATGGGAAATTCAGAGACCAAAATCTGATTCTGGCAGCTTAAATAGTGACTTCAGCTCAGGCCCATCAGCAAACCATTGCCATACCTCTTGATGAGAAAGTCAAGTGAGAAGTCCTGCTGCTTTATTCACTGGAAAGGCACTCCTCAAAAGCTAACCTATCTCTATCTTTCCTATTTTTAAACATCTGCTTTAATTTAGCATCACTTTTAATGTTTCTATCACTACAATATCTTGATGCTCTAAGACAAGGTGTGGTCAGTTTCTTGGCTGCTTGGCAGCTCACAAACTGGACGGTTACTGTTTTCAAGGCATGTGTCAGTAAGAGCAGAAGCATACTATGGGGATCTCCTACACTGGATTGATAGATTGATAGATGTAATGGCAAAATTGATGCAGAATTTTATTTAATTCCTTTTAAAATGAATTATTTCTCTTCCCTTATCCTTGTACAACGTTGTTGCACATTTAGATTGTAAAGCAGAATGTATTCCTTTATGTACTTTACAAAGAAGTGTATCCCTCTACATAGCTACTGCTTATTCTATATATGCATATCTCCCTATATATTTCTTACCCCAACCTACGTGTATGGCTGTATATTTCTGTACTTATTCCCCACTTCTCAACCTGCATTTCCACAATTTTATGCCTGTTGCAAAAGAACTAAATACCATGCCAGTCCTCCCCACTTGAAGAGCATCATGTATTTTCTCCATGGAACTCCCTGTTCCAGAGTTATAAATCATTGATGGCTGTGTATCATTAAAGCTTTTCAAAAGAATTGCACAGAAATGCACACGATGGTTCTTGAAAAGCCTTGATTTTTTTTTTTTTTTAGATTATGAACCAATTTAAGAACATCTGACTTCTATTCCGATGTGTCACAGCAGGCTGGGCACTCCATCTACGAGGCCTGTATTTTTTGTAATGTAACATGTTTCCAAGATGACTCTAGTTATTAACAAAGGGACGGAGATGCCTACCCGACTCATTTCACCCTGTTCAAGCATATGGTTTTGTTTGTTTCTTTAAAAAGAAGACATATCAATGCGCCTGAAAGCGAGGTCTTCTTCTTTTGATCAAATGACTTAGGCTGAAATCAGCTTCCTCTGGTATAGTGATGCTCTCTAGCAGATCTCTCTGGGGGCTTGGCAGACAAGGTTCTTTGGGAAATGTGATTTCTTTAATTAGACCAACTAAATAGTTGGGAAAATTGCTTTTTGCCAGTTTTTGGGCACAAGCACCCTTCTTCAGCCATAGGGAGAGTTGGGGGTTGGACACAGCTTGAAGGAGATAGCTCAGTCTCTACTGCAACTATCCTGTTTCCTGCTCACAACCCTTGTGCCGGTTTTAGATAGGCAGGATTAAGATGGTCGTGTGAACGGGTCTTTCTGGCTCCTGATCTCCTAAACCCGGTGGTGATGTGGGTGCGCTCTCCAGGTGCTGGGCCGAGAAACACGGTGAATGCCGACAGAGGGCGCCGCGCGCTCGAGCTTGGCGGTATTGCGGGGCAAGCCGAGGCCGGGCTGTGCTGCCAGGCTGTTTTTAATTTATTTATTTATTTTAAAGAAGTGACTTTTCGACCCCAGCCGAAGCACCTGAAATGTCATTTAAAGCGAGAGAATGAGGTGCGAGGTGACGGGAACACGGAGGTGACTCGTGCAGACAACTAGCACGTTTTGTCCCGCCTCAGAGCTCTTCCCCCACGTGGGGAATACACGAGCGCCGGGGCTTGACAGCGCCGCAGCCCTAGTGGGACGGGCCCCGGCAGCTCCCGGGACCCGCGGAGGCACAGCAAAGGAGCCAGTGCCATCGCTGCCGTCCAACACGCTGGAGCCGCCCCGCAGCTGCTTGCTCCAGCCCCAGAAACAAGCGTCGGGAGCGGGGCAGGACTCGGCCAGCGGCGCCCTCCCCCTTGGGACCTGCCTGGTCCCGGGCTGCAGTCGTTGCGGGATGCCTTTTACAGCTCCCGCACCCTGCGAATAACCACGGGACACGCGGAGCAGCTCCGCGCCTGCTTGTGCGCTTCGCAGCCGGTCATTGCATGCCTCAACTCTAGAGCTGGGGCCACAGGCGCTGGGAGGGAGGAAAACATCCCTTTGGGGCCGGATAAACCGCCTCCTCCCGGCCCTGCCTCCGCTCCTGGGAGCGTGAAAGCTTGTTGCAAAAGCATCGATGTGAACACGGGGGATGTGTGTGTCCGTGTGTGTGCGCGTGTGCATGAGAAGTACGTGGGCACAATACCCAGACACAGACCCTAAAGAGGGGGGAGGGGGGTTGTTCCTGTTCGGGACACAGTCCCGGGAAGAGTGAAAATGTGGAGGCTCCCGCACCCACCTGTCCGTGACTACAAGAGGAGGGTCTGGTCGAGGGCTGCATTTTCACATTAAGTTTTTGATTAAAAGTCTGATAAACTTTCGAAAACCGAGCCCGGGATTGGAATAAGCCTGCGCACCGCAGGTGCCTGTCTGGGGGGG